GGGGAGGTCAAGGAACAATTGGGGTTTATGGGGCTTTGTGGGGTCTGGAGGGGGCCAAGAAACATTTGGGGAGTGTGGGGTTCTAGGGGGTTTATGGGGTCTGGGGGGGATGAAAGATTGATGGGGTTTATGGGGTTTTGGGGGTCAATGAACAATTGGGGTTTCTGGGGTTCCAGGGATTGGGGGTTTAGGGGTTTTATGGGGGTCTGGGAGCCGGGGGGGAGTGCCAAAGTGATGGGGATTTATGGGGCTCTGTAGGAACCCTGAACCCCCCGAATTCTCGGGGAGCCCACAAAGCCCCCCCTGAGCCCTTTAGAGCCCCACGGAGACCCCAAAGTGCCCCCTCAAATCCCTCCCCATTGATTTTGGGCCCCCCCAAATCTCCCCTCCCCCTTAATTTTGGGCCCCAAATCCCCTCCCCATTGATTTGGGGGGTTCCAAATCCTCCCCCATTGATTTTGGGGCCCCCAAAATCCCCTCGGGCTCCCGGAGATCGCCCCAAACCACGCCCATCCCGTGCTGACCACGCCCCCACGGCAGCGCGCGCCGTTCTGACCACGCCCCCGACAGCTCATTACCATATTTTGTGTTGGACACGCCCCCGGAAAGGGCGGGGCCGGCGCGCGCGCGCGCGGATTTCGAAAGCGGCGCCGGTAACGGCCGAGAGCGGGAAAAGCGGGAAAAAAACCCGGGAAAAACGGGAAAAGAGTCCCGGGATCTCCTGGAATTCGCACCGGGAAAAGGGTCCGGGATCCAAGGTAACGGCCGGAGCGGGAAAAGCGGAAAAAAACCCGGGAAAAGCGGGAAAAGAGTCCCGGGAACCCCCGGAATCCCCACCGAGAGCGGGAAAAGAGTCCCGGGATCGCCCGAAATCGGGAGCGGGAAAAGGTCCCGGGATCGCCTGGAATCGGCACCGGGAACGGGAAAAGCGGGCATAGAGTCCCGGGATCTCCTGGAATCGGCACCGGGAACCGGAAAAGGGTCCCGGGATCCCCCGGATCAGCGCCGCCCACAGCGGATCCCGTTTCGAGGTAGGACCCAATTCCCAAATCCGGGACATCCTAAATTCCCAAATCTGGGAGCTCCCGAATTCCCAAACCTGGGACCCCCAATTCCCAAATCTAGGACCCTCAAATTCCCAAATCTGGGAACCCCCAGTTCCTGAATCTGGGACCTTCCCAATTCCCCAACTTGCCCCAATTCCTAAATCTGAGAACTCCCAAATTCCCAAATCTGGGAACCCCCAAATCCCCAATACATGACCCCCCAATTCCCAAATCCAGGACCTCCCAAATTCCTGAACTCAGGACCTCCCAAAATCCCAAACCTGGGAACTCCAAATTCCCAATCCAAGACCCCCAACTCAGGATCTTCCAAATTCCTAAACCTGAGAACTCCCAATTCTTAAATTCAGGACCTCCCAAATTTCTAAACCTGGGAACCCCTAAATTTCCGAATCCGGGGCCTCCCAAATTCCCAATCCAAGACTCCCCAATTCTTGAATCTGGGACCTCCCAAATTCCCAAATCCAGAACCTCCCAAATTCGTGAACCCAGGACCTCCCAAATTCCCAACCTGGGAACCCCCAATTCCCAAATCCGGAACCTCCCAAAATCCCAAACCTGGGAACCCCCAATTCCCAAATCCGGAACCTCCCAAAATCCCAAACCTGGGAACTCCCAATTCCCAAATCCGGGACCTTCCAAATTCCCAAATCCTGGCCCCTCATTCCCAATCCAAGACCCCCAAATTCCCAGGTCCCCCATTCCCAAATCCTTCTCCCAGAGTCCCAAGTCCCTCCATGTCCCCTCCCGCCCCACAGGATCGGATTTGGGATCAGATTTGGGATCGGGATTGGGATCGGGATCGGCTCCATGGACTCCTTCCAGTCTCCAGTCCCTTCATCCCGCAAGGACAAAGCGGGTGAGGAACTCCGGGAGGAATTCGGGAAAATAATGGGAAAAATGGGCGTTGGAAGGAAAAATTTCCTGAAAATCCCAACTCGTTCCACAAAGGGTGGGGTCGGGAATTGTTTTGGGGTTGGAATTTGGGAAAATATTGGGAAAAGGAGGGTGGAAGGAAAAATTTCCTGAAAATGTGAACTCGTTCCACAAATGGTGGTGTTTGGGGTTGGAATTTGGGAAAATATTGGGAAAAGGGGGGTTTGGATCTGTGGGGTCACTTTTTAGGGAACGAATGCAGAAAGGGAGGTGGGAATGGATTGTGGGGTTGGAATTTTGGAAAATATTGGGAAAAACGGGCATTGGAAGGAAAAATTTCCTGAAAATCCCAACTTGTTCCAAAAATGTGGGGTTGAGAATGTGGTTTGAGGTTGGAATTTGGGAACAGAATTCCCAGTGGGAATCATGGAATGGTTTGGGGCCATGGAACCCTCGGATCCTCTTGGATTTAAAATCCCGCCAGGAATGGGAATTCCACCTTTCCCTGGGCAGCCAGGAAAACCTTTTCCATGCAGGAATTATTCCCAAAATYCCACTAAACTTCCCCCCGGAAGGATTTGGGGCCCGGGGAGCAGATCCCGATCCCAGCCGGGATTTTTCCCGGAGTTTCCCGTGGGATCAGCGGGATCCTTTTCCCGGCAGATCCCGGCTCCATGTCCGTCACCATCCCGGCCTCTCCCTTCATGCAGAAATTGGGATACGGCACCGGAGTCAGCGTCTACCTGATGAAAAGGTTTGGGAATTGGGATCGGGATTATCCTGGGAAATTCCCGAGGGGAGGGAAAAGGCGCTCCGGGATGTTCCATGTTTCCCTTGCCATGGATGCGGAGCCAAAGGAGGGATTTGGGATTTGGAGCCATCCCGGGGTTCTGGAAATGGGAAAGAACCCATTGGTTTGGGATAAACTTCCCTGGCTGAAATTTGGGGATTTGGGCTCCATTATTTTGGAATAAACCTTTTCCTGAGTGCAATTCAGGGATTTGGGCTCTTTTCCTGGGAATTCAGGGATTTGAGGTCCATTATTTTGGGATCACCCTTTTCCTGAGTGGAATTTGGGGATTTGGACTCCATTATTTTCGAATAAACCCTGGCAGGAATTCAGGGATTTGGGATCATTCCTGGGATATTCCCTGGCTGGAATTCAGGGATTTGGGATCATTCCTGGGATATTCCCTGGCTGGAATTCAGGGATTTGGGATCCATTATTTTGGGATAACCCTTTCCCTGGCAGGAATTCAGGGATTTGGGCTCTTTTCCTGGAAATTCAGGGATTTGAGGTCCATTATTTTGGGATCACCCTTTCCCTGAGTGGAATTTGGGGATTTGGGCTCCTTTATTTTGGGATAAACCCTGGCAGGAATTCAGGGATTTGGGCTCTTTTCCTGGGAATTCAGGGATTTGGGCTCCATTCTTTTAGGATAACCTTTTCCCTGAGTGGAATTTGAAGATTTGGGCTCTTTTCCTGGGAATTGAGGGATTTGGGCTCCATTCTTTTGGGATAACCTTTTCCCTGAGTGGAATTTGGAGATTTGGGCTCCTTTGTTTTGGGATAAACCCTGGCAGGAATTCAGGGATTTGGGCTCTTTTTCTGGGAATTCAGGGATTTGAGATCCATTCTTTTGGGATAACCCTTTCCCTGGGTGGAATTCAGGGATTTGAGGTCCATCATTCTGGGATATTCCCTGTCTGGAATTCAGGGATTTGGGCTCCATTATTTTGGAATAAACCTTTTCCCAAGTGCAATTCAGGGATTTGGGCTGTTTTCCTGGGAATTCAGGGATTTGATGTCCATTCTTTTGGGATAACCCTTTCCCTGGCAGGAATTCAGGGATTTGGGCTCTTTTCCTGGAAATTCAGGGATTTGAGCTCCATTATTTTGGGATAAACCCTGGCAGGAATTCAGGGATTTGGGATCATTCCTGGGATATTCCCTGGCTGGAATTCAGGGATTTGAGGTCCATTATTTTGGGATCACCCTTTTCCTGTCTGGAATTTGGGGATTTGGGCTCCATTATTTTGGGATAACCCTTTCCCTAGGTGTAATTCAGGAATTTGGGCTCCATTCTTTTGGGATAACTTTTCTGCTGTGGAATTCCGGGATTTGGGGCCATTCCTTCCCTCCACGAGCCTCAGCTCCAGCTGGAAATGGGAACAGAAATTCCCTTTCCCTGCAAATTCCACGGAGGAATTGGGAACATTCCATGGATCATTCCCACGCTCCTGTGCCGCGGCAGTTTTTAATCCTTTTCCCGCTTTTCCTTTTCAAATCCCACAAACTGTTTGGGTTATCCATGAGAATTCCAGAGGTTTTTCCCGCCCAGGTCTCCGCAGGGATTATCCCGCTCCCCCTGGGCCGTGAAGAAAATCTATTCCGGCTGCAGCCGGAGCCAGCGGAGCCTCTACCAGCAGAGGCTGCAGGAGGAGGCCAAAACACTCCGGAATCTGCAGCATCCCAACATCGTGGGTCAGCATTCC